AGGAGGATAATAAATAACTTGTTATTGCAGTTAGTTACATCTCCAAAACACTGTATAAACATTAAATGATTAATCCACTCATATTATAGACTGTGTTCTCTGCCTTTTGCTATGTTGATTTCAACTTGAAACAAATGTGGGTTTTCTTCTATTTGTTATAAAACAGGTGGGTTATGATAGCACAAGTTATCAAGTGTTTTGTTGTTTTTTTAAATCAAAAGACAACATAAAATTGTAAAAAGTTAATGAAGTGGGCTCGGCACAATAAGTATTTTCTTAGCTTGAGGATTTCATTAATTGTGGCTGTACTTTGTGACTTTGCAGATACTAAACCTCTCTATCTCTGAATATTCTTATTTACAATTTTATTTCTTTAGATCTCTGTTGAAGAACTGGAGAGAAGTTTGTTTATAAAGGTCAACAAGGATGCAGTTATGAAAATAGCTGTTGCAGGAGATCTGTTTACTTTGGACAAAGGACTATATCAGCTGAACTTAACAGTAGGAGGCATTCCTTTTAAAACTAAAGGCCTTATTCAGCCCGTGAGTACTTCTCTTAATCTTCAGTCATGTTGTAACACAGAGTGTAGTGAGCCTGACTTAGCTTCGCTTACAACAGGCTACCTTTATAGACCCTAGTGGAGTGAGTCCTGATTTACACCAGGCTAAGTGAGAGACAAATCAGGCCCAGTGTGTTTTTGAGGCTGGGAGCAGTGTAGGGGGAGCTTTCCTTCCATACACCAGCAGAGTGCTCAATGTTGAAATATGTATCATGCCAAACTTTTATTTCTGCTAACTTTTTAGCATCTATTTTTAGTAGTGAGCCCCAGGCACAGTAGCATGGGCGGTTTCTCACCCTATAAAAGGCTTTTTACTGGCTTGTATGTGGTTTTGGTGTTCGTTTGTTTTTGCCCCCTATGCGCCATCTTCATGAAAGTCAGTTACAGCTAAGAAACCAATTCCTTTTTTTCCTAATTAAGATAGATACTTTTATAGGAATGAAAGTCAAGAACTACTTGTATATGTTTGATTGAGACTTAGGACTATTTTTGGAAGCTGCTAAATTAATGTAGCCAGAATTTCCATGGAAGCCAACAGTGCCAGAAGGTTTATATGAGTTATTGTTCAAATAACTGCTGTTCTACCTCTCTTTTGACTGACTTTCCACCTTGAACAATGGGGCTGGGTTTTATTTGTTTTTAAATAAGGTGACAACCCTGTGGCCTCAAGACTGGAAATGTAGCAACCTAAGGAGGTCTCTCCTCCCAATGATAAGTCGCTCAGGGCGATTCACACTCTGAATGTGTTTCAACTAGAGGTGTGGTCTGAACATGGGGCTGGGAGCCAGAAACCCCTGGGTTTTTATTCTGTATCTGACACTTTCTTTCTGTCTGTCTGTTGAGTGTGGATGCTATTACTAATCTAGCAGCTTCAGGAGAGCCTTTGGTCTACTTTCTTTCTCACATTTTAATGCTAGAGTTTAAAATATAAATAAAAGCTGGAATTAAGTGTGTGTGTGTGTGTGTGTGTGTAAGGTTGCACCCAACTTCTGGCTCTTAGCCATAGGTCTTTTACATCTGTCTTTGGTTGCAGTACATACCACTTGGTCATTTCTCATTAGGTTCAACACATTGTGTGACATGAGCTTTTTACAATGAAATGTGTTATAATCTATTGCATATAAATGCCTCTGTTTGTAAGGAGTTTCACATGGATTTATACATGGCTAATCTCTAGGGGATTCTTAGAAATAAATGGCACTCATGATGTGCAGCATGTAAAAGTGGATAACACAGTTACAAAGGCAAATTTAGTCCCTGCATGAGCCATACCCCTGCTCCCCAGTGGAGCTTTACTGACTGCGTGGGCACAGAGCATAGGCACTGACTTTCTAATTTCCCTGGCCGTGCTCGACCCCCCACTCCATCCCAGGACCTGCTCCACCCCTTTCCCCAAGGCCCCACCCCCACCCAGCCTCTTCCCATCCCGGCTCCATCCCTGTTCCACATCTGCCTCGCCCTCACTCCACCTCCTCCTCCCAGCACCTCCTGCTGAACAGCCCTGGAGCACCCACGGCGTCGGCGCCTATGGCACAGAGGTCTGCCTGTATGGATGTCATTGCAGGATTGGGGCCCGAGTCTGTTTTGCTGTGGTTGCATGTTGGTAAATGTGGTGAGATTATTTTCCCCACACCATTATATAGTTTGATCTTGTGGAACCCTCTGTGCCCATAGTCCTCTCTCTGTTTAACACAGAATAGCAACTCAAGGTAAGATTATTTCTCTGTCTTACAAGATAAACCCTCGGCTGGATGGTTGTATGCGGGCATGGAACTGGTTGAATGGCGAAGATACTACTATCCAAGAAACAATAAAGCTGAATGACAAGATGCAGTGCTTCTCAGTGGCAGGACGAGGATCCTTCTATCCTGGCAATGGTTTTGCTATATTTAATTTCAGTTATAGTAAGTGCTTTTTTTTTTTTTTTATTAATCATTGTCATAGTGTGCTGTCCATACCTATGTATTCAGATAGAATAGAAAGAACAGTTGTAAAAGTGTATGAATTCCTGACTTGTCAGGTAAGCCTTTGTTTGTTTTTAAAGGCACACATGCATATGCTCTGAAATGATGTACATGGGTAGGGAAAAATCATCATGTGTACTAAAAAAATAAAGCAGTTGAAATTAGCTCTTTCCCAATTAAGAAAGCTAGCAGCTGTAGTGGGAATCTGAATTTGGGCTTCACGAAAAGGAAGATCTAATAATGCTGGCTCAAAGACAACATTATATGGGCAACTCTGATTAGGTTCCCTCTGTGTGGCTTTTACAATGCATTTATCTCTGATGTGTATGTACCCATCTCCTCTGCTATTGCAACTCTGACTTCTCTTAAACAAGAAACTGTCAGTCAGAGTAATGTGCATTAGATTTATGACTTAGGCTATTGTAGCGGGGTGGTTACCCCACTCCTGCCCTGAAGGGCTTAAAACAGCCCCGGAAGAGGGCTGTGGCAGGAGAAAAGCTGGGCTGATTGGGAAAGCAGCCACAGCTGTAGCCAGTGCAATCAGGGCCCAACTGGCCCTTATAAGAGGGTGGTGGGTCAGAAGGACGAAGACACACTCTAGCCTTTTGAGAGGGAGGGACCTGCTGCTGGGAGCTGAGCAGGGCTGGGGAAAGGCCAGAGGAGCTGGGGAGCTCCGGCCTGGAAAACCCCCAGGCTGCAGGCCTTGCTAAAGGCCAGAAAAGATACTGGGGTTGCAGAGGGGCAGCCCAGAGATAGGCAGAGGCTGCTGGTCCAACCCCCCTTGCCGATGATGAGTGGTTTATAGACTGCAATCCGCCCCAGTGCGCAGGGGCTAGATGGTGACTGGCAATAGCCACTGAGGCAAGGTGGGGATAGAGGGTTGGGGGTTCCCCTGGGTGGGGAGACCTAGATTGTGGGTTACTGCTGGGGGCAGAACCCTGACATAGAGGGGCACTGGGGTCCAGGAGGGACACCCTGCCACCCCAATTCCTGGCCACAGGCTAGCCGCCCTAGCCCCACTCAGCAGGCTTCCCAGAAGAGGAGGCAGTCCGCCTGAGGTGGGGCAACCAGCGGCAAGCAGGAGGGGGCCTTGGGGTGGAACGTGGATGGAGCCACATGAGGCTGTTTGGGGAGGCTCATCCTTCCTCAGCCTATGCTACATGCTGCCCATGATCGATAGCCCTTGAATCTCTATCCTTGGTTTAAAAAAACAAACCCCTCACCCTTGACTTTTAACTTTCTGAAAGGCAGCGGCCCTTTCTGTGGAGTGTAACAAGGCAGAGCTGTTACCATTTTCCTTTCTGATTTTATACACTAACACTTGGATTTTTTCTGGATTAAAGAGAAGTAGCTATCTGTCCATATGCTCTTCCGTCCATAGTCATCTTGTCTGCCACTTGGTCAATCAGTCTGTTTTTTTGACGTGCATCTCTCTCTCTAGTGCAACCATCTGCTGGAAATGAAACTGAAAGGAATTGGGAAGTAGAAGTAAACACTGTAATTCGGCCAGCAGCAGATACTGGGGTACTGTTTGCTCTGGTTGGTGAAGAAGCTTCAGTCCCTTTATCATTGGCTCTGATTGACTATCATTCCACAAAGAAACTTAAACAACAGGTACAAGCTTTAATCTTCTACTGGTGTAAAACAAAAAGATCCCTTGATTTTTTTCATCAGAATTTCTAGGGCAATTTTCAAAACATCTCAAAATTTGTGCCTGCCATTTTGTGTATACATTTACATTCACCAGTTCAGAATTTTATATGCATATCAGATGTTTGAATGTCATTGGAGTACAGGAATTCTGCTCTTTCTGGGGACAGTTTTAGAAGGAGGGTAGACACTCCTTTGAACATTTGGCCCTTATAAAGGGTATTGATTCAGTAGCAAATACCTCCACACTGACAATATCTGCTCAATCTCTTGAATTTGAGCCACTATCCCATTTTGTTATACTAGTCTGAATTATACTATAAACTCCTTTGTACAGAGACTTTGTGTTCTATAGTGTAAGCGCATAATAACTCTACTGTAGTCAAGGGAGTAACACGGGCCTAACTCCAGAGTGTCTGCAAAATCCCATGTACAGTATAACCAGTATAATTAGTTATATTCATAATATAGGGCTAGATTTTGCTGTCCCAGTTCAGAAGTAACTCCACTGAAGTCAGTGAGCCTACTTCTCATTTACACTTAGGGCTTGTCTTCAGTACTGGGAGATCGGCGCTGCTGCAATCAATGCAGCGGGTGTCAATTTAGCGGGTCTAGTGAAGACCCGTTAAATCGATGGCAGAGCGCACTCTGGTACTCCAGCTCCCTGAGAAGAGTAAGGGAAGTCGACCGGAAAGCGTCTCCCGTCGACTCAGTGCAGTGAAGACACCAGGCTAAGTCAACCTCAGTTACGTCGACTCCAGCTACGTTAGTCAGGTAACTGGAGTAGCGTAACTTAGGTCGATTTACTGCGGTAGTGAAGACAAGCCCTTCGGCTGCTCAACACCACTCTGGCAGTGAGACGACTCATGGAAGGGGCACAAAGAGTCAAATGCCCTTCAAGCAGCTGGCCCCGGGTGGGGAGAGGAAGGGGCGGGACCAGAGCCTGTTCCAGCCACGTTGCCTGGGATGCTGCCTGGTGCAGCACAGCAGCTGCCTGGGAGACACCTGGCTGTGACAGCAGCAGGCTGCCCCTTCCCCAGGCTCAGCTTCTGGGGATAGGGGCCAAGCAAGTCAGAGCCCCCCCACCCTCCCTGGGATGCTCAGAGTTGGCTCCTGTCTCCAGAAGTTGAGCAGGGAGCAGGCTGCCGTAATGTAGGGTGGGGACAGGAAGAGCGCGGGGGCCCCAGGCTGGGGGCAGGGTGGGGAGGAGTCACATGGAGATGTCACGTGTCCTCCCCTTTAGCTGGCGCCCCACTCCCAGTATGGGGCGGCACCAGTCATCTATCCTTAAGGCTCCTTTGAACTGCCAGAGTGGTGATGTTTACAGTGCTGTCGTAGCTGTGTTGGTCCCAGAATATTAGGGAGACAAGGTGGGGGAGGTAATGTCTTTTTTGTTGGACCAGCTTCTGTGGGGGAGAGAGACAAGCTTTCAAGCTGCACAGAGTTCTTCAGGTGTGCTGTTAGTGTAAATGAGAATCAGACCCAGACAATGGAGTTACGCAAGGTATAAATCTAGTGTTAGTGAGCTCAGAATCTGACTTCCAGTAGTAATATAATCAGTTCTTTGCTGGCTCTGAAAAAGCCTTCTAAACAGCTGCAGTTACGAGCATTATGGAACAGGAAAATTGTAAGTGTGTATGTTTCCGTTTGTGCCTGTGCCTTCACTTACTGCACTGTTTTACTATCCAGTTCGTTATCTTGGCCATGGAGAGCACAGTTGTGTCCAGACTGGCAATAAACGTTTGTGATGATCAGGAACACTCTGTGAACATCTTCATCAGCAAGGGGCAGTTATCGCTCACCGTGGATGGGACTGCAGGACAGAGTGAATTAAGCCATTCCCAGCTACAAGACAGTCTGTTTCTCTTGGAGGGCTACTTGCAGTCATCTGTGAAGACACATGTGGGAGGACTGCCAGGTGATTATCAAGTTCTGCAAAGCAGAATGCAGGTTCTAACAAAAATAATAGTACTGGTGATTGGAAAAGGGATCAAATGTGTTCGTTAGACCCCGAAGTCAAACGCTCTATTTCTGCCCAAGTGAGTTTTGTTGTGCATGAGTAGGTGCAAGGAAGGCACTTAGCATTGATACCCTGGGGTTTTTTTAACTTGTTTTTGTTGAATGACTATATCAGCCTTTTTTGGAGAGGAGGAAGCAAGATTAGGAATCTTGGTTGGGTTTCTTTTTGGTCAGCAAATGGGGTTACCTGTTCAAAGAAGAGCTATGTGGAGGGTCACTATCAGTCTGGCACAATCTGTGGCGGTTATTACCTCACATGCGTGCAGCCCTGAATTAGCATCACATTCAGGTAGGAGTCTGAGATCAGTATCAGATAAGGACCAAAACACTTAAAGGTGTAGTCCAATCTTTTGAGGTTCTCACTCCCTTTGTCTCCCCAGCCTGGCAGACTGACTCCAGGCTCCATGCAGGCTCTTGGTACCTCTAGCCCTCTATTGAGTGGGTGACCCATTCACCTCACCTCTGTTGGAAGTCTTAGAGGCTCATTGCTGTGGTTCTGTAGCTTCTCTGCTGATGTTGCCATCCAGAGAGCACTATGTGTAAGAGCTCATGTCATTTCCAGCCAGGGACACCCAGGGGGCACAGCACAGAGGTTGCCACAACTTCTGGCTTTTCCAGCAAAAATAGAGCCTCTGCAGGAGTCACTTCGGTTCTCTGCCTGGAACCTGACAGATTGATCTTTGATTTGAATAAAAGATTTGGCTGTTTGAGGTTCTCTCATTCTGGCTGAACTGGTTTACCACTCCCTATTGCTGAGAGATGCAAATGAGGAAGCATTGGAAAAGCATGTCTCTCTGCATAAGTAGTAGTTACTATCTGCAGTACTCACAGCCAGACAAAGTCCTGGCCTTGCTTGTCTACTCCATGTAATAAATATAGGGAAGAGAGGCTGGAGCAGTGCTGGCCTTGTGGTAGGTGCCGCAGCAGTTAAGCCAGCACAGGGCAGCCGAGGGGTAATGTAGCAGGGTGCCCCTTTACTGCTGTTCCTAGAAGGAGTAATGTGAGCTTTTCCATAGCTCATGCTGCACAAAACAGTATTTATACTAGGAGACCTGGCTTCTATGCATGCCAGAAGATGGGAGACCACTCCCTCCTGGGGCTCTGGTGCGTTGGCAGGTGCAGTAGCCAGTCCCTCAATCTAGCACTTAGCGGAGTGCCACACTATATTGCGATTGTTGCCCAGCTGTTGCACCAGTAGGAGGTAACCAATGCTCTCTTTCACCACTAGTGCAGCAGAGGGCAGGATTTTCTCCTGAAAATTAGGACGTGTCTGTCTCACACTTAGAATGGAGGTAGCTTTTTGTGCTATAGTTCTCTAGCGTAGTTTGTTTTTAGGCTGGCTTTTCAGTGCAGTATAAGGTACATTTTCATTAAGCTCTAGCTGGAGTAGGTACATGAGCTAGGGCTGATGAAAAAAATTGAGAGAAAAAAATCATGAACATTTTGTCATTTCCCATTTTTTCTTGAAATTGGGAACATGTTGACTAGCTGTATAGGGCTGGCTGACCACAGGGAGTGTGGCACTGGAATGGTAGGGTTTTTTTTCAATCAACGTTTCTATGAACATTTTCATAGAAAAATCAGCATTTGGAAATTTCTGATTAGCTCTAACATGCATATATTATTCCTAACATTAATAATAGGGCTCTTCTTTCGGTCTGTGTACATGGCATCTTTAATTGGTCTCCCTTCCATGGACTGTCGGAGCATTAGCTTGCAATGCAGAAAGAGCTTTAATCAATGGAAGCTCATCCTTGGTCACGAGAAGTGGAATTTGTTTCCTTGATTGCAGGGAAACACTATTTACACTGCATAAATCCCACTAACAGAAATGTCTCTGAACATTTGTGTCACTGCAGGTGCATATCTTGCCCCACTGCATCAAGAACACTTACTATTTATAATTAAGTAGTATGACAGCTATTTTTCAAATTGTTCAAGGCAGTATCAGCTGGAAATTTCTTCCTGACTCATCTAGTAATCCTGTATGCCCTGAAGCAGGAGGATTAAATGCTTATTTTGTCTAGTGTAACAGTAGGTCATTATGGCAAAGGATCCATTTTGTAGATCTTTTAAAATCTGAGTTGCGGCAACCATTTATTTTTCATAAATTCCAATGCCAGAAGGAACCGTTGTTAACCTCTAGTCTGACCTCTGTGTAACGCACGCCATAGAACTTCCCCCAAATAATTCCCAGATCAGATCTTTTTTAAAAAACATCCACTATTGATTTTAAAATGGTTAGTGATGAAGAATCCACCACAACCCTTGGTGAATTACTCCCAGTGGTGAATTACTCCCACTGTTAAAAAATGTATGTCTTATTTCCAGTCTGAATTTGTCTAGCTTCAACTTCCAGGGTTGGCTCTTGTAAAGTAAATCTAGTGCACTTTAAATCTACAAGAATTACAGCTAGGTTAGCTGCCTTCTTCCTTCTGTGATCTGATCTGCTCAGCAAGTCACTTGTTTCTTTGATTAGCAAGTCGCTTGTTTCTTTGATTGAGTCCAGAGGTGGAGCCTTAACATTTGAGTTAAAAACAGTTTAACAAATGAGAAGATTATAAACATTTAAACATTAGGAATGGGTTAACTAACCTGGACTAAATAAACTGAACCAAATGTTCAACCGGAAGTTTCACTGAACTGAATTTTTTAAATCATTTGTTAGTTTGGGCTGACGCTGGGTTGTTTTCATTTCTTTTTCTGTCCTCTTCCTATGTTTCTTTATTTCAGCCAGAAATGGGAAAAACCCAAAACAGGAGTCACTCTTACTATTTTTTTCATTTGCCTCAAATAAACATATAATTTGGCCTCCATATTAGAACTATTCCCCATATTAAGTAAAGACCATAATGCAGATATGGAGGAAGCATTATTTGGGATTGCAAGGGAACAAGTCAACAATTTATTAATGATCACAGTACTTCAATAAAATTGTTTTCTACGGTGTTTAGTTTTCTATGGTATAAATAATTTTCTTTTTTGAGTGCTTGCTCATGTCCATTCCACATTAGGTGTGTGTGCTCGCCACATGCACTGGTGCCGGAAGTTTTTCCCTCAGCAGTATCCATAGGGGAGCAGCTCTGGTGCCCTCTGGAGTGGCACCTGCCTGGTGCGGTATAAGGGGCGCCGCCGGCTCCTCCCACCCTCAGTGCCTTCTTGCCAACAGTGATGGTGCAAGGAACGTTCGCCGCTCTTACTAGCGTTGCTTAGGTTTCGTTCGTATGAACTAGAGTTCTTATAAAGTTAGCGCACATAGTTAGTAGTTGAGTTTGTTAGCCCTTAGCAGTAGTTAAAGTTTTATTAGTCCTATTGGGGGATGGGACATGCCCCAGTCTCCAGGCTTTAAGCCCTGCCATTGCTGCAAACTGCCCATGCCTGTGAGCAATCCGCATAGCAGCTGTCTCAGGTGCCTCGGTGAAGGGCACATAAGTGATAAGTGTCGAATCTGCAGATCTTTTATACCTAGGACTAAGAGTGTGAGATCAGACTCAAAGTACTCCTGATGGAGTCAGCGCTCACTCCAGCCCAGGAGCAAAGGTCCGACTCGGCACCCAGCACCGCGGCATCGGTGCGTAGTGCCCCACCGTCAACTAGCTGGCACCGATCCCTGTCCACGCCCCGACCAAGAAGTCTAAGGACGCCAGTAGGGGATGGTCTCCTGCTCCCTGCAACAGGAAGGACAGGGATGGGGGTGAGCTAAGACCCGCGCTGGATGGCTCATCTCCCCTGTCGGTAAGTCGGGCCTCAGCTCATGTCGGGCAATGCAGTCCACCCCATTCCTTGCCTGGAAGCCTGGATGCAGAGGCGGGCCTTCATCAGCTTCAGGTGCCGTCAATGCCTGAAGCACTCCAGGCTGCGCCAGAGATCCTGATGCTCCCAGTGCCGCCCACACCGGCCCCGGCAGTGCCCAGACCTTGGGGTAAGCCCATCTTGGGACCTTTCTATTTGCCCTTGCCCCAACAGTCCACTCCCCATCACGGGGAACATCCTGACACCATTCACCTGCTCGAAGCCGTCATGCCTCGGAGTTAGGGTCACTGGACCTTGGACACTGGCAGTAGGATTCGAGGCAGACCTCGCTGGTTACCTGGTACAAACCCACGGAGGCACGCGCTCACCAGCAGGAACGTCGGGACTGGCCCTTTGTGTCACCGGAACGCCGTTACAGATCCCGGGAATGATTGGAGGACCGGAGCTGTGGGCCCTGCCAACGATCGCCGAAACAGGTGTTGCCGTATTTGGGGAGATCCCCTGGTGCCCGGACTGCAATACCTCCAGGTCCCGCTTATCCCAGTACTGGTCTCAAAGCACAAGGCATGGATCACTGGTCTCCTGTCATGGATCCGCCAAGTGCCACCGGTCACCAAGGTCCTGCTCAGACCGGTGGTCCTCCAGATGCAACCGCAATTATCGCCACTCATGGAGTTGCTGCTCCAGTGGATCCAGGTCACCAGGTAGCAATCGCTCCGGATATGGCTCCGGAATGGAGCAAGGCTCCACATCAGCAGGTCAGCCTCCCAGATCCTTGGTGTCGCCTGTATCGTCGGTACCAAAACCTGCCCCGTGGCCCCAGGCCCAGTGGCTGGCCCTGTGGTACCCCTGGAACACGTGGGGGTTCACCCAGCCCTCCCAGACTGCCCGCTCGGTGTCGGGAGACTCGGACAGGCCTATGGCCTCGACGACCCAACTCCCTCCAGTGCTTGAAGCCCCAGGGGATAAGACCCTGCAAGTCCATGTCGACCAAGGGGAACAGCCTGCTGGACCACCAATGGGTGCCGTGAAACCCGTGATACCGACCTCCGCGTCATCACCGGACGAGGCCATCACAGAGCCCCCTCACCCGGTTCCTCAGGATGACACTAAGGCAGACCAGGAGCTGTTGAAGAGGGTTGCGTC